GCAGTGGCGTGCAGTCCATATAGGCGAAAAGGCATTGCCTACCTATAAATATCGTGAATATATAACATACATATAATGTACAAACGCGTTTATTAAAATTCAATAATATAATAAAAGTTTGTAAAAAAACGGCTAACATAAATACGCGCCTTTGTAAAGTAATGAATGCGCCCCGCACGCACCACGCATGCGCCACTATTCCTTAAATCTTGGTTGGCAGTAGTGACGTCACAAAAGAAATGTACCAAAAGTATGCACCGCGCATGCGTGAAGTTCACGACCATAGTCACGGTACAGAATAACCATTCATAATTATATTACGCGATTCCTGTTGATTGACAAAATGTTTGCAACTAAAAAATTAGAGGACCGTTCGTTCATCACTTGGAAAACGATCGTATTTTATTAAGAATTCTAAATACAATAAAACAACAACAAGTTATTGTATTTTTAAAAACAATTAAATCATAAAAGGATTTAAATTGATAAAATTTGTATGTATATCGTAAAGTACTGATGAATGGAGTACACCAGCGCCATCTATTGAATTTTTTGTTGAAACTTCTGAACTCGTTCGATATAATGCGAATGTATTTTTATAAATGCGTATTTAACAAATATTTTTCAAGTGTTTTAATTAAAGTTTAACATTTTTACGCGTTGTCGGTTTATAGAAATTTTAAACGAGGAGTTGACTTTATTATTATAAAAGTTAAAAGGAAGTTATTGATACGTCAAGATGGCGCCATTTACAACGTTTCAAATTATATGAATGAATGTTTTTTAGTATGAAATATTGGTTTAAGACGATGATGCAATTTCATTTGACTTACTAAATTAACGTTTGTTTTTTTGAAATTAAACGCTGCGTTACCTTAATTTTTAAGCTACATTTTTTTTATAATAAACACTCAATTGACTATTGGTAATGACTTCAATTCATTTCCAATGTTTTCGGCCATATTGTTTTCATGTGATGTGCGATCGCTTTGTTTATGTTTTCGTTTAAATTATTAGGAATTAGTTTTAAACATAAAGTTGCATAAATGTGTAGTAGTAGTTAAATATATGTGTAGGTTTTTCAAATAGTGTATTTGTTTCTCAGTTTCTAGTACAAGTACCTATATTATTCGATTGTGAAGTGTGTGTGAATAATAGGTAATTTTATGTGTTTGTTGAAAGTAAAAACAGTAAGATTTCGCAATGTCCTTTATCGGACTAGATTCAGGTAATGACCATAGGCAGAGGTGTACTCGAGTTACGAGAATTGACCCAAGTAAAAGGTAGGTAATGTAAATATGTACTATAATGGATCTTTTATTTGATTTTCTTGTTTATTGTTTGATAATTCTTAAAAATATCAACTTAGACTTCGGGTTGTACTGATTCACATATTAATTTATTATTAATATTTATGTAATGTAGTAATAACAAATGTACCGCATAGACTCGGCCGGCTCGGCCACAGCCGGCCGCGCTTGTTATTGTTTTGTTTGTTGACATAATGTAGGTACCTACGCTCTTAAATTCGTAATATATTATGATTTTGACCAGATTGATTAACCTTAACAATTCCATAATGAAATTTGGTTCATCAAATTTATGCTTCATTATTAAAATAAATAATAGATCTTTCATTATTTGTAAGTTTTGTTGGCTTATTCAATAGCTGATGAAGTACTTCACAAAAAATACGCGAGATGTCAGTGTATGTAATTTGGCGAAACAATACACCACAATATTCTTGAACGCACTTTTCAAAATATATTATGTACATGTACCTATCTTGTGTGAGCATGATTGTATGACCGGCGGGGGGGAGGGGTTTAATCATACGATATTTAGTTGCCTACCCTGTCTCGAAAACCTGTGCACGCCACTGCTACAGGTAGACAAGCGCTAAATGGCATTTGTCTACAGCTGCTGTTTTTATGAGCTATATGTGTGTAACTGTGTTACGGTGATTCTTAATATCATCTTCTAGTCGGGACTAAAGGCCTTTAACTTATTCAGGATACTTATCATTGGTAATTAGCTATTACTATGGAAGTCATAATAGCTACTTCTGTTTGAACCCAAAATGCTTCCTAACCATTCTCAACTTAAAATACATTCTTAATCTCGAGCATTATTATCCGTGCGTTAAGATCGAGTACTTTCCCCACAGCCCACGCACACATAAAGAAATGCACATACGTGTTTGTTTAAAATGAACGCTACGTTTGACTCAGCTCTGATTGTTTACTTATCGAGTTACTTTGTTTTGTTTTTTTAGGGAAAACACAGTGCGACGCGGTTGAATGCGAGCCCGTAGGAAAACAATAACATGGCCGCTGTACGTTGATAAACTAAGCAAATAATGTACCTACGCAACGTGCGCCTAGAAGAAATTATGCAGCCACCGGATGTTTTAGTTTTTTACCTTATTTTTACCAACATTACCATCTCTTGTTCCTAAGGCTTCGGTTACTGTGTTGAAAAAAGTAGATTATAAATTAGGCTGAACTCACAATCTAGTTAACAAACTAGCTTTTAGTTTGCTGTCGAGCCTAGAAGTAAGGAATGTAAAAGTATGTTTAATACTTCATACATTCTTTACATGTACTGTTTATTTCAATATGAAGCTAACGCCTTATTAGAAGAATTACTTGAAGCCAAAATTTAGTAAGTAGTAATAGTAGCCGGTAAACGAGCACACGGATCACCTGATGGTAAGCCATCGGCGTTGCCCATGTACACCTGGAACATCAGAGGCGTTACAAGTACGTTACCGGCTTTTTGGGGATTAGGAGTTTGAGGATCGTTGGGGATTCAGGGATTGGGGAGATTGGGGAAGCAGAGGGTAATTGGGCCTCCGGTAACCTCACTCACACGACGAAACACAACGCAAGCGTTGCTTCACGTCGGTTTTCTGTGAGGCCGTGGTATCACTTCGGTCGAGCCGGCCCATTCGTGCCGAAGCATGGCTCTCCCACACTTTTTTACTCTACGACAATGTCTTAGGTTGTTTACCGCTGGATGCAGCTCGCTTCCAACCGGCCTATCTGGAAGTCATTGGTGGAGGCCCATGTTCAGCAGTGATGTCCTGTGGCTGATATGATGATAATAAATGTCTTAGGTACACGATAAACAAACCATCTCCTTCAAATCTGAATCTACAGAAAAGAAGCGATTGAATGGCATAGTACTGATAACTAATGGAGCTACAACTGACAACTAGAGTTGTTTTCTAGTCCTGCAGTGAACCAACCGTTATCCAAGTTAAACGATATGGCACTACGAATTCATGCCACTACGTTTAAAATGAATAAACATATATTTTTATGAATAAATATTCATTTTTATAAATAAATATTCATTTTTATGAATTTCAAGACTGTTTGCTAAGAACAATAAAGGACATTAGGTAATTGTTAACTAAAACATAAGACATTGTAGAAGATAAAGCCAAACCGCTCAGAAGTAATTCCAGAAGACAAGTATTTAATAACGAAATGGCAATGATAAACATTTTGTGCTTTAAAAATTGCCAATGCCTATGTGTCTACAATATGTACAGTAACATTTTACAGTGCTTTTATGAATATTATTAATATTACATGGGACTCACAACATAAATAGTGAAAAGTGAGTGTTACATTGTACAGTGGCATTAAGTGCTATAATGTGCTCCTCTGCCTACCCCTCCTACCCCTTTGGGAATAAAAAGGCGTGATGTTATGTTATCTACGCTACATCAACGCTACGATTTTGCTCGACCACGCTACGGAAGCACTACAACTGTTCTTCAGGGGATATAATTTTCCATGTGTTCTACTTGTAAAAATTGTTGGTATTTACAGAAGCAAATATAGTAAAAAGAGTTTATTTTTCAAAGCTGTGGTTTTATAGTGTAGGAGATTAAAAGATTGGTCATCAATTTCAGCCGTAAAATGGATAATTTCGCAGCACCGATAACAGTATAATAACCCTTTAACAAAATAATATCATCGAAAACTTAATAAAAGTTTATTTCGTACCTGTTTACTCTTACATTCATGCGAACAGATACTCAAATGTCACATAAAAACAAAATCGACCACGCCCAAAACAAAACGTAATTTTATTCTATATGCTATCTTCACATAAACACTAGAATGAAAACAAAAGTTTTACCTACTTAAAATCTAAATTTTATAAACAAAAAAGCTACAGAAAACATTATAAATCTATCATCTACTTTTGTTTTCTAAATACCGTAGCTTAACATAAAAAAATAAAAAAAAATACGCATAAATTTTGAATCATAAACAAAAGACTACGTTGCAAGCTCATTTTAATAAATACATAAATATAAATATACATTTTTAATACATAATAGAAGTATTTCAACTCACCTGTCGTACTGCATACAACATTATTATTTCTTCTGTTTTTTTACTTTTTTTTAATTCACAATTACTTTTTAATGATTTTTATACACTTTTAGAACTATAATTTTATTATTAACGAACACGTTTATATTATACTAGCTATCAGTCATATTATTTAGCTTTGTTTTAATGTATAATTCACTATTTAATATTTTTTCTCTCATGTTATAATACGGAAACTCGTATAAGAAGTATCATCTGGAAAAAAATATAGTTTTATTTTTCAGTGTCGGGTATAAGGATAATTAAAAATGAAAAAAAAAGAAAGTATACCGTGAGTGAAAAGGATTTTTAATAGGTATTTTCGCAGAATCACGCTTGAATTTCGAAATAAATTAACTAGGCACATATTTTCGTAAAGTCACAAATATTCAATTCTTTTGGTTTACCTACATTATTTTGATTTTAACTATTCGAAATAGTCTTACGATATTTATTCGAAATTTATCAAAAAAAAACCCCAATAGGTAATCATGAAATTCAACGGTTCAAACTAAAGTTACTGTGAAATAACCTACAAAAGATATTATAATCTAATTTCCTATATATTCATCCTTTAAATTAAAAATTGCCTTCTGTATTTCGTCTACATAGAAAAATAATTCCTACATAAAGCTCCACGAGCCAGCAAAGCCTTTAAAAAAATAAAATTTCAACGAAACGCCTGAAAATGTGACTGAAAATCTCATTGAGCATAACATTTCTGAGAAATCCTTGAATATATCATTTGAATAAATAACATAAAGCCTTTATTGCCTGAAATGTAAGTTTTGTCTCTGAAAAGCGACCGCCCGCCCCACTGTACAGTGACGGCGGCGACTTCAAAGAGCGACCGACCAATGGGAACGCAGCACTGAAAAGAGACACGCCCACCCGCTATAAAGAGACCGCGCCGGCTTTGATGTGCGCCGAAATTTATATAATACAGGCTTATATTAAGTGAACAAGAGACAATATTATAAGTACCTAATGTTTTAAACGGTCCTCAGGCGGTGTATATGCCCTGAAAATGATTACTGAAGTTGAGAAAAAGGTCAATCTTCTCATCCCCGTTTAGGAACGTCAATTTTTTAGGTAGACTTACTGAAAATGTGATTATTAGAACGTTTTCTGTTTATAACTATATATGGGCTGTGTTTTTACTGTGTATAAAAATACTCGTGATAAAGGAACATTATATATAATTCCTTTTGTCGTCTAAAAATATAATTACTTACGCACATTTTGATCATAATTATTGTTCAGAAGTTAATGAATTCCAAAAATAACTAGTCTAGTACTGATATATGACAAAGAAATCTTTCTACCAACTGCACCTTTTAATAACATTATCTTCAGAATGGGATTATCGTACTCTTCGCCGTACCTATACTATTAGTTATCAAAAATATGGATTCCTTCCTAATCTGTATGACCTTAGATTAATCTGTTGTTATCCTAAAACACAACAAAAATACCTCTACAACAAACACTTATTTACGACCACTCTGTATTTCCTACTTCCTAATATTATTTGCGTCATACAAAATTGACAGTATTTATTAAATAGAATTATAGATATAGATTAGATGTTTTAGATTATTTTATAGACAATTATGATAGGATCGTATCGAATTTGCATAACACCAATGATTTAATGTATTTTTAGCTTTTCTCTTACGTAGATGACTGCATAGATTTGCAATTTTTATGTAAAATAGAACTAAATTGGTGATGGTTTATTCATGCATCTGTCATCATGGTCACTATCATCAGGCAGTTGAACAAAACTTGTTTGACAAAGGGTTTCTTTTAGGACTATGTATATTTAACAGAAGGGCCAAATTAAAAGTACCCTTAACCGATGAGCATGCTTGAAAAGTCTGATGACTGTTGAACAAGCGAAAGAGGTATGTGAGAATCGTAGCGTATGGAATATCCATAGTCTCTGACTACCCCTATGGAAGACAGGTGTGTGGTTATATATGTATATACATATGTCTTAATTTCCACGCTAGGTAAAGACTTAGACAAGTCTACAGGTACAAGTACAGCCAGGTAAAGCTTTCTGACTTGATGACTATAAGAGATTTTTAAACAAATTCATGAAGATTATACCATCATTCATCTCTGCAATAGGGTAGACGACTAATTTTTATTTTAATGTCCGTCTGGTAGATTATTTAAAAACATTAGACACGTGTATGTTTTATTTTCTTCGGAAACGAATAGTTTCGAGGATATATTGATTTGAAATATCGCATGACGTCACTTTTAAGGACGAATTATAATCCAAAATGACGTAGCTACCTCCCACTCCTAGATTTTGATTCGTTTTATCTGAGCATTGTTTTCTTATACGACAAAATAAATAAATACGTGTCCTTTATTTTTTCATTACCTAAGTGAGTGATTTTTAATTTTCATACCCTGTCATCATCCCTATTATAGTCATATCTCTTATCTTCGATGTTACGTAAAAGGTGTTTTTAATTATGATATTTTACTTAATTCATTTAAATAATTTTTTGGAAATAAGATAAGTGTTCGTTGCAAAAAAAATATATAAAAGATAAAGCCAAAAGAAATTTTCGTATTTCTAGAGTAGGTATCTCGGATTAACATTGTTTGTCACTAGCTTCTTAAATTATCATCAGATTAGTGTGGGAACCGAATAATAGGTAACGAACTCTATTCTAATTAAGACAAGAATCAAAATTATTTGGTTATTGACCACATTTCTGTACAAAACCAAAATAGGTAGTTCCCACGTACAGTAGGTCTATTTATATATTACTTATGTTTAATTAACTAGAAATGTTTTTCAATGCACATAAAATCACGTGGAACGAGATTAAGACATTCAAAATATATTTTTTGATCTGGTAATTAAATAAAATACCCATTTACACGTCACTTATCATCGCACGCATATCTAATTAAAAGGATTAATGATTTTTGTTAAAATAATAACAGAAAACTGTTTTTTCGAACTCGATTTTTTTTTCTATTTAATATGTTAAAAACAACCTTTAACATATTGGTTTAAGTTTAATCACTTAATTAATAGATTAAACGCGTTTATTTATATTATTTAATTAATTTGACGGCTTTAGATAAGTACAGAGATACATATATATATTATAAAAGTGTAAATCAAGCGATGTATATTCATTAAATAAAATTAATTGGGTTTAAACGTTACTTTTATTGCTTAATTATTATTTAATTTTATTTTGCAAAAACCCTCTTTTAACTTAAATTGCGATAAATCTTTCTAGCAGGCGAATAGGGTCGTTATTTCGTCAATTAACAACAAAATTGCTTGTTTTGCTGGATAAATAAGTAATTAAATAAAAATGTACTGTGTGTTTATTTGTAATTTGACACTATATTTGTATACTATTGTAAGGTAAACGCTTTTTTATGATATTAAAGCGAATCTTTGTATGTAGATATAGAGTAGATCCTGTCAATGATCTTGAGAATTTGAAAAGATTTGAATTCGAAATCTGATGATAAATTCCTATGAAGAAGAAGTAGCGATCTTGTAATTTCAATACAAGAATGATATATAGAAATAAACCAACACCAAATAATAAAAATTACAAACCAATTCGATGCGACACAGGAAACATCAAAAAATATTCTCTCTAAATAGACTGAAATGTATGTATAAATAATAAAAATATATTTAAATTAAACCAATTGATTATTTTATAAGCTAAATGCTCAGAAATCCGCTTACATTATTGGCGCCTTTGAGTGCATATTTTTTTTTTAATAAAAATTTATAATTCAATATATCTAAGACACATACTAAATTAACTAAAATCGCGGGTAACTCATGTGAATATACTGAGAACAACTCTACTAATTTCGAACCACAGAGGGATTTTAGTTAATATCTAAGACACATTTTATTTCTGGAATTGATTCCGGAGTCCCATTAAATTTTAACGTTGTATTGTCGTTACATCGTTTTCACATATATATACATTAAGTAAAGGATCAGATAATGTATCAATGAGACTGTTAAAAACATTTTTTTAAAAGAGTGACGATGGTGTTTTTTGCTCGTTCTTTTCCATTCGAAACTACATATTTGGAACGAGCGCCTAACTTCACTGACAGACGGACGGACAATTCAATTTTTGACGTTTCAAAAATGCCTTATTAAGGATTAATTGAAATAAATGCTTTGACTTTGACTTTAACTTTAATATAGTTTCAGAGTATAGATTCATTCGCGTCTAATTTAAAATGTTGCTCGCGAGAATGTCTTGAGTAACTGCTTGATTATTAGACTTCAATACTCCATACTTTATTGCTTTACCTAGATGGTAAACATAATTAGGACACAATGTTGTCCCTGTTGGGCCTACCCTCTACATAATAATATGAGAAGTTGGTCAATATCTCCAGGATTGGTAGACGGGTAAGAAATTGCAGTTAAAAGTTCAGGTTTATAACTTTCCAGTCTCGCTGCTGTCTAGTCTCATGTACAGTTGGGTGGGCCAGGTCAACCTACTCTTCTCTGTCACATTTCTTCATTAGATTTTCAAATCTATTACATGGTGGTTATAAAGTTAAAAATCCAATGACGAAAATTGACTCATTAGAGTAGGTCGATGTGAAGGCAGTACCTTAGACAGTTCTACGCGGAATAGGGACAAAAATCACTTTATGTTACTCGATGAACAATAAGCCTTCTTTAATAGTAGTTTTTTAAGCCTTACTGCGGACAGAAAACTGTTGAGGGTAAATCCTCCACTATCGTGGCCCATACCTTGTCCCCCATGGCGTTCAAGGTGTTAATCGGTGTACATTTAGAGGTAATTCAAAAAAAATAAACAATCATATCATTTTTTCTATTACTATATCAGATTACTTCTGTTTTTCTAATATTATCGATGAATGAGAACTATTCTTGATGTGTAATAATTATTCCATTCAATTAGTTAATAATATGTAATAATAGCAGTTATATTAAAGTGATCTGTCTAGCCAAAATTCTA